ATATTATTATTATTTTATTTGTCACAATAAATTATATCTATTTTTATAACAAATTGTGATTTTATTGGTATGGAATACATTTCACTTACATGATAACGATCTCTAAGATCTAAGAGAATTGAAATAGTGGGCAATTCTCAACTGTATAATATTATCATCCCATAAATATCCCCACAATACTGTTATTAAACTATGTAATTGTGTTATTCTGTTGTTCATTCTTCATTTGTTAAAAAAATGCCTCCTTAACCTCTTAAGGACACATGACATGTGTGACATGTCATGATTCCCTTTTATTCCTGAAGTTTGGTCCTTAACGGGTTAAGAAAGTGAACTAACAGACTAAATCTTTAAATTATTTAACACATTGATATAGGGATAATTCCCAATAAAACTATGTTCCCAGAATCAGACCTTGATTTAATAATCCCAAATAATTCAATACTATTGGATACACTTCCAAAATTATTTCCTTTCAAAACATTCATAAAAATCACCTTAAACGTTCATCCAAAAATACCATATTAGGCCTTAATTACTAGAACCATCAGTGCTGGGTTCTTCAACTATTAACAATTTCCTACTACTAAAGCCTACCCTCTAGCACTTGCTCATGAATGGACATTGCTAGGGTGATATTGCCTAAATAAAACACTCCCTCCATGTTAATTGAGTGTATTTTTTATTTAATTCTCTCCTTTTTGGGTAATTTTGCTGAAATATCTTCTAATAAGGTCTTCCAGGAAATTTAATTTACCAGTACAAATAAAAGGATGATTTTTTTCAGTATTGTTGCCTCACTTATAAACTTATGAACATTTCACCAGAATTTTTCTGATCTTTATATAGAAAACACCATTGCCCCGTGATCAAGGGGTATGCTAAATAAACCCTGGCATTATATTGTGAATAACACTACTCATCACCCCTCCCCCCCTTTCTTAATTCCAATAATAGTATCAATCATTCATGGAATTTGGAACATAACCACATCCCATCCATGATTAATCTTATTAGACAGTTTATACAAGTCTGTGGCTGATTAATAAAATCATTATCTATCTCCCAAAAGATAAAGGTGTAAAGCAGTCTGTTCCTTGTTCCACGGATTATAGATAGTGATGTCGCGAACACGAAATTTTCGGTTCGCGAACGTCGAACGCGAACTTTCGCAAACGTTCGCGAACCGCCATAGACTTCAATGGGCAGGCGAATTTTAAAACACACAGGGACTCTTTCTGGCCACAATAGGGATGGAAAAGTTGTTTCAAGGGGACTAACACCTGGACTGTGGCATGCCGGAGGGGGATCCATGGCAAAACTCCCATGGAAAATTACACAGTTGATGCAGAGTCTGGTTTTAATCCATAAAGGGCAGAAATCACCTAACATTCCTAAGTCACACTGAATATGGATTGACACCTGACATATGACATATTGACACCTTGACATATGGATTGACACCTGTCCTCAGAGCCCCTGATGCACACGGACACAGAGCAGAATAGGGACTGGTCCCCTACATAGGGTCACTTGGCAGATATGGATTGACACCTGTCCTCAGAGACCATGATACACACTGACACAGAGCAGAATAGGGACTGTTCCCCCTACATCGGGTCACTTGGCAGATATGGATTGACACCTTATTACGAACTGCTATTTGTAACGGGGCCTTTAAATGGCAAATTGCCCTGCTTCCCTGGGTTGTGGAGAAGCCTATTTGCCAGCCTCCTCCCGCATGACTATGGCCCCTGGGAGATTGTATGCACTTTTATTTGGTGTGTATGGCCTTTAAGACTGTCAGTGGGCATATTGGGGCTTATGGACTCTTTATGTGACTGGTGCTGGCCCTTTAAACACCTTTTTTGGGACATCAGGAAGATTGGGACACTGCCCCTTTAAGGCCGTGTCCCAAAACTTGTTGGGGACACTGCCCCTTTAAGACGGTGTCCCCTGTGTCCCCAGACCTGGTGCAAACCCTTTGTGCCTGCCTGGCTATTTCCCACTTGGTTCAGTAAATAGGGCTTACTGAACCAAGTACCACACAGGCAGACCACCCAGAAGTGGAAGTGTGCAGGCAATTTACCTCCCAGAAGCTGCGGTTAACCGCAGCTTAATTGATAATGCTGGGAGGTCTTTGTTCGTTTGCCGAACACGTGGCGGCGGCCATCTTTGATCATTCGATGAGGTCAGCGGTATGTGTAGCCAAATTCATGGAACTAAAATCGGCTACACATTTCCGCGAACACCGCTGAGCTCTACCTTCTCCCCTACTGGTTTTACAGCTGCAGAGACTAAGTCCCATTCGGTGATGGGACTTAGTCGTTTTTTCAGCCTGAAATAGACCGACCTCACAGCCCCAATCTATGGAACTGTTTTGGGCAGGAAAATGTGCTTGCGGTCGGTCATAAAGGGACCTCCAGCTAACTTTTTAACCCCTGGATGGATTTGGCTGATTTTGGTTATGTTTATGTTTTAAGTGTGCTGATTCCAAATATGTAATTATGAAGATGGGATGTGTAGTTTTAAAGTTACAGGGTATGGCTAAAAACTGTATTTTTACTGCCTGTGTTTAATTATGTTAATCTCTTCCCAAACGTCATTTCGTTCAAAGTGGAGAATGTTAAAAAAATATATTTTTGTTCGGGTGTGAGAAATGCTTTTCAGCCGCTTCTAATCTTAAGCATCATTTGAGGAGCCATACAGGAGAGAAACCTTATTTGTGGTGTGTTTAGTATTGTTCTGATCAGTTTAATACCTTCCGCGTCTCCTATCAGTGGACGTGTATATGGCAGCCATTTTAGGAACCGTACACCTGGGACCCGAGCAAGGTCACCTCGTTCAACAGGCGACAACATTTGTCCCTGGAAAACTATCCTGGACATTCTGTACAATTTGTATGGATATGGCAGTGATTTCTGTAACAGGGAGATGGAAGAAGATGCTTGGTCGGTCCTCTTAATTCAAATTTGGGGCACTGCGCGGTCAAGCTAATGTGCCACCAGATAGGAGTGGTGTGTTTAGTATTGTTCTGATCAGTTTAATACCTTCCACGTCTCCTATCAGTGGTCGTGTACACGGCATTGATTTTTGTAACAGGGAGATGGAAGAAGAGGCTTGGTCGGTCCTCTTACTGCAAATTTGGGGCACTGCGCGGTCAAGCTAATGTGACACCAGATAGGAGAGTATTGTGTTTAGTACTATTTTTATCAGTTTAATACCTTCCGCGTCTCCTATCAGTGGACGTGTACACGGCATTGATTTTTGTAACAGGGAGATGGAAGAAGAGGCGGTGGGTCCTCTTACTGCAAATTTGGGGCACTGCGCGGTCAAGCTAATGTGACACCAGATAGGAGTGGTGTGTTTAGTACTATTTTTATCAGTTTAGCTACCTTCGCGTCTCCATAGTGGTCCTGATACACACTGACACAGAGCAGAATAGAGAATGTTACCCCAACATAGGGTCACTTGGCAGATATGGATTGACACCTGTCCTCAGAGCCCCTGATACACACTGACACAGATCAGAATAGGGAATGTTACCCCAACATAGGGTCACTTAGCGGGTATGGATTGACACCTGTCCTCAGAGCCCCTGATACACACTGACACAGATCAGAATAGGAATGCTACCCCAACATCGGGTCACTTGGCAGATATGGATTGACACCTGTCTAAGGATCCCTGATACACACTGACACAGATCAGAATAGGGAATGTTACCCCAACATAGGGTCACTTGGCAGATATGGATTGACACCTGTCCTAAGGATCCCTGATACACACTGATACACACCTACTTGGATGGTATAGACATTTTTAGCAGCTCCTGGCCCGAACACCTGACCCACATAGGAGCCGTAATAGACCGGATTAGGGAGTCCGGACTGACCCTAAAGCCCAGTAAGTGCCATATAGGAACGTGTAAAAACCTCCCAAGATAGTAGTATGGGCCCCAGAGTGTGAACAGGCCTTCCAACAGCTCAAGACGGCGCTCATTAAATCACCTGTACTTTCTGCTCCTGATCCAACTAAACACTTTCTCGTCCATACAGACGCTTCTATGCTTGGATTGGGAGCAGTACTGAACCAAGTCGGAGCAGATGGTGGCGAGCAACCCGGGGCTTATCTAAGCCGTAAACTTTTGCACAGTGAAAAGGAGTGCATAGCGGTGGTGTGGGCCCTCAAAAAGCTGCAACCTACTTGTATGACAACCGTTTACCTTACTCACAGATCACAACAAATTTGGGGCACTGGCGTGCAATCTAATGTGCCACCAGATAGGAGTGGTGTGTTTAGTACTATTGTTATCAGTTTAATCACTGTTACGTCCCCTATCCGTTGATGTGGAGCAAGACGCAGCAGCAGAAGAGGACTAAGCCGAGGAGGTTATGGAAGAGGATGGAGTAGGAGGAGTAGAGGAGGTGGCAGCGTACTGGCAGAGTACGCTGTAGGGCTGACACACCTGCTTGAAGATAACTAACTGCTATTCAATCTATAACAGTGAAAAAAATAATTTGTTTTTAAATCCAAGCTATTGTGACACCAGTGAGTGAGTGGTGTGTTTAGTACTATTATTATCAGTTTAATCACTGTTACGCCCCCTATCCGTTGATGTGGAGCAAGACGCAGCAGCAGAAGAACAGGACTCAGTAGAGGAGGGATATGGAAGATGGCGTGAACTGCTCAAGGCGGGAGTGGCCGGATGGTTGAGAGGACGGGAGGACAGCAGTGGTTGACGTGGCTGAAGCTGCTGGACCAGGAGGAGGCTGGCGGCTTAGAGTAGGCGAGCTGCTTGTACTCATGTGTTGATCCCATAGGCGTTTGTGATGTGAGATCATGTGCCTAAGCAAAGCAGTTGTACCTAGGTGGGTGTTGGACTTCCCACGACTCAGTTTCTTTTGGCACAGGTTGCAAATGGCATCGCTGTTGTCAGAGGCAGACACACAAAAAAAATTCCACACTGCTGAGCTCTGCAATGACGGCATTCTGGTGGTGGACACAGCATGCGTTGATTGGCGTGCTGTCGGGCTGACCCCGGGTGTCGATGCATGCTGTCTGACTGTGCCACTAGCTCCTTGCGACGACCTTCCCCTGCTTCCAACTCGTCTCCTCCTCCTCCCTGTCTCCCCATCTGAACTTTCACCCTGTTCTTCTTCTTGACGAGCGGGCACCCACGTGACATCCATGGACGCATCGTCATCATCAAACGCTTCACTTGTATCTGACAACTCAGCAAAGGAAGCAGCAGCGGGTACAACATCATCATCATCATCACACCGTACGTCCATGTGTGTAATGCTGCCTGCCTGAGACATATCCCTGTTATCTACATCCTCTGGCAATAATGGTTGCGCATCACTCATTTCTTCAAGCGGATGTGTGAATAACTCCTCTGACATACCAACCGAAGCGGCTGTGGTGCTAGTTTTGGTGGTGGCGGCAGGCGGGTGAGTGGTATCTTGAGAGGTGCCTGAAGCTAAGCTGGAGGAGGATAGTGCGTCAAGGTTCTGAGCGGAGGCTGTAGAAGATTGGGTGTCCTGTGTTAGCCAGTCAACTATGTCCTCAGAACTTTTTAAGTTCAGGGTACGTGGCCTCTGAAAACTGGGCATTATTCTAGGGCCAAAGGGAATCACAGCACCACGACCACGATGGCCCCTGCGGTGTGGCCTGCCTCTGCCTGTCATTTTTGTTGGGATTAGTGGTACTATGCGTGCAAGCTACTGTGAGACCAGATATGAGTGGCAATGTGCACTGGCACAGTTGTGCAGAGCACAGGCTGTAGGCCTGACACCAGCTTGAAGATAACTAACTGCTATTCAATCTATAACAGTGAAAAAAGTGTTTTTTGTTTTTAAATACAAGCTTTGTGTCACCAGATCTAAGTGGTGGCACTGGTCACCGTATCCACTGTTAGCGTAACACACCAGCTTTAAGGATACTGACTGCTATTCAATCTATAACAGTGAAAAAAGTGTTTTTTGTTTTTAAATACAAGCTTTGTGTCACCAGATCTAAGTGGTGGCACTGGTCACCGTATCCACTGTTAGCGTAACACACCGGCTTTAAGGACACTGACTGCTATTCAATCTATAACAGTGAAAAAAGTTTTTTGTTTTTAAATGCAAGCTATTGTGACACCAGTTAGTGGTGGCACTGGGCACCGTATCCACTGTGAGCTTAACACACCGCTTTAAGGACACTGACTGCTATTCAATCTATAACAGTGAAAAAAGTGTTTTTTGTTTTTAAATACAAGCTTTGTGTCACCAGATCTAAGTGGTGGCACTGGTCACCGTATCCACTGTTAGCGTAACACACCCGCTTTAAGGACACTGACTGCTATTCAATCTATAACAGTGAAAAATGTTTTTTTTTTTTAAATCCAAGCTATTGTGACACCAGATATAAGTGGTGGCACTGGTCACCGTATCCACTGTTAGCGTAACACACCGCTTTAAGGACACTGACTGCTATTCAATCTATAACAGTGAAAAAAGATTATTTTTTTTTTAAATCCAAACTATTGTGACACAGGATCTAATTAGTGGCACTTGTCAGCGTATCCACTGTTAGCGTAACACACCCGCTTTAAGGACACTGACTGCTATTCAATCTATAACAGTGAAAAAAGTTTTTTGTTTTTAAATCCAAGCTATTGTGACACGGGATCTAATTAGTGGCACTTGTCAGCGTATCCACTGTTAGCGTAACACACCCGCTTTAAGGACACTGACTGCTATTCAATCTATAACAGTGAAAAAAGATTATTTTTTTTTTAAATCCAAACTATTGTGACACCAGATCTAATTAGTGGCACTTGTCAGCGTATCCACTGTTAGCGTAACACACCAGCTTTAAGGACACTGACTGCTATTCAATCTATAACAGTGAAAAAAGTGTTTTGTTTTTTTAAATCCAAGCTTTGTGTCACCAGATCTAATTGGTGGCACTGGTCAGCGTATCCACTGTTAGCGTAACACACCCGCTTTAAGGACACTGACTGCTATTCAATCTATAACAGTGAAAAAAGAGGTTTTTTTTTTAAAATCAAGCTATTGTGACACCAGATCTAATTAGTGGCACTGGTCAGCGTATCCACTGTTAGCGTAACACACCCGCTTTAAGGACACTGACTGCTATTCAATCTATAACAGTGAAAAAAGTGTTTTGTTTTTTTAAATCCAAGCTTTGTGTCACCAGATCTAATTGGTGGCACTGGTCAGCGTATCCACTGTTAGCGTAACACACCCGCTTTAAGGACACTGACTGCTATTCAATCTATAACAGTGAAAAAAGAGTTTTGTTTTTTTAAATCCAAGCTATTGTGACACCAGATCTAATTAGTGGCACTTGTCAGCGTATCCACTGTTAGCGTAACACACCCGCTTTAAGGACACTGACTGCTATTCAATCTATAACAGTGAAAAAAGTTTTTTGTTTTTAAATCAAGCTATTGTGACACCAGATGTAATTGGTGGCACTGACTGGGGAAATGGGCACAGTATGCACTGTGAGCCTGACACAGAAGCTGGCAGCAGTGGCAGACAACTGACTGCTATTCAATCTATAACAGTGAAAAAAGTTTTTTTTTTTTAAATCCAAGCTATTGTGACACCAGATGTAAGTGGTGGCACTGACTGGGGAAATGGGCACAGTATGCACTGTGAGCCTGACACAGAAGCTGGCAACAGTGGCAGACAACTGACTGCTATTCAATCTATAACAGTGAAAAAAGTTTTTTGTTTTTAAATCCAAGCTATTGTGACACCAGATGTAAGTGGTGGCACTGACTGGGGAAATGGGCACAGTATGCACTGTGAGCCTGACACAGAAGCTGGCAGCAGTGGCAGACAACTAAGTGCAATTACATTACATAGAAAAAAAAAATTAAAAAAAGCATACCCTTATCCCTAACCTAGCTATGCTTTTCCCTATCTTATGAACAGCAGCTACACTTTCCCTCCTCTTACTAAGCATGCAGCTTGAGAATGAATCTAAAATGGATGCTGTCCAGTAGGTGGGAGGGTCTGCTAGGGAGGCTGTGCTGCTAATTGGCTGGAATGTGTCTGCTGACTGTGAGGTACAGGGTCAAAGTTTACTCAATGATGATGAATAGGGGGCGGGTCGAACCGCGCATATGTTCGCCCGCCGTGGCGAACGCGAACATGCTATGTTCGCCAGGAACCGTTCGCCAGCGAACCGTTCGGTACATCACTACTCATTAGTACTCCAAAGTTACAAATCATCAATTTGTATGCCTATCAGTTGGATGCGTTCCATCTTAAAGTGTTAGAAAAAGGCCTTTCTTTTGTTCCGACCCCTGCCTTTGACAGATTTACTTGGGTAAAAGATCTTCATTTGTTTGTACAGAAATGGCAAGGTCTATGTGCCTCTCTAGTAGCGACATCGAAGGTTTTAATACCTTGATGTCTCTCCTTGATGAAAATGAGACACAACCTCTTATAAGATATACAGAACTTAAACCTAAAAGCCGTTTTACCCCTAATTTTTCAACATTTAGAAATATTGACTTATTCTTGGAGGCAGTAAAAAGTGAGATTGACAGCATTGATACTAATAATCTTGACTCCTTTCCTGGTGATAATCTCTCCAGGAAGGAACAGACGGCATTGAAATCCCTTAGAGATAACACTAATCTCATTATCAAACTGGCAGATAAGGGTGGCATTGTGGTGGTTATGGATAAAACTAACTATGAACAAATGGTTTTAAGAGTACTAAGTAATGATGATACATATACCATCTTGGACTCTGACCCTACCAATGCTTTCCTTAACAGCTATAAGAATATTTTGGACGAATACCGCAGTGGAGGGTTGCTACCCGATGAGGAATACACCTTTATCCTCAACTGATGTCCTAGGATAGCAACCTTCTACTGCTTGCCAAAAATCTACATAAACCTACAGGATCCACCAGGCCGTCCAATCGTGTCAGGGGTTGATAATCTGACGCAAAATAGAAGCCTCTATATTGACCAGATCCTTAGACCATTTGTTGAGTTACTACCCTCGTACATCAGGGATACAAAACAAGCACTTTCTTCCCTTTCGAGTCTCCAAATTAAACCCACAGCCAACTTGTGTAGCCTCGATGTCGAGGCACTATACTCCTCCATTCCACATAAGAGGGGTATCGAGCATGTTAAATATTTCCTGGACAAAAGGGGTTTGAACTACGAGGCACATACTGACTTTACTGTTAAGTTGTTGGGTTTCATTTTGTCACACAATTATTTTTTGTTCCGGAAATAAATAAAACCACCAGGTGAGAGGTATGGCAATGGGCACGGCGTGTGCGCCATTGTATGCCAACCTCCACCTAGGTTGGTGGGAGGAACACATCAGGACCTCTGAAATTTTGTCTCATTTCTTATCCAAGATTTCATCTTGGTATAGATATATTGATGATGTCCTAATAGTGTGGCATGGCAGTATCGACGAATTCAATAGGTTTGTCTCTGCCCTCAATATCAATGAGGATAATTTGAGATTTACTGCAGAATTTGGGGGCTCAACCCTCAATTTTGGGGATTTAACAATTTCCATTTGTAAGGATGGCTCCCTTAGGACCACTCTTTTTAGGAAACCTTCTGCGTCAAATTCCCTCCTTAAATAGGACAGTTACCACCCGAGATCTTTGAAACAGGGTATTCCAACTGGGCAGTACTTTAGATTGCGACGCAATTGTACTGATCTACAGGATTTTAAAATTAAAGCAACAGCCCTGAGGCAGCAATTTAAGGAGAAGGGTTATCCTAACAAGTGCCTTAAAAGGGCCTGTAAAAGAGCACTTACAACCAATAGGACAGACCTGTTGTCAGACGAAGCCAAACCAAAAAACCCGAAAAATAAAACTATAAGGATGATTGGTACCTTTGACACAGGTTGGGATGAGGCTAAAGATGCCTTGCAGAAATTCTGGCCAATCCTTCTCAAAGATACTCACCTGAAAGAAGTCCTGGGTCCCCAGGTGGCCATAACAGCATGAAGGGGTAAGAACCTCCGTGATATTTTGGTCCCTAGTCACTTTACGGTCCAACAAAACTCCCAAACAACTTGGTTGGGACGGAGAATTCCAACAGGGACCTATGTGTGTGGAAAATGTGTGGCCTGTGTAAATATATCCTTAGGAATTCTAAAGAAGTGAGGAATAACGAAGGTACACAATCTTTCCATATAAACCATTTTTTCAACTGTAATTCTGCAGGGGTAGTTTATCTCCTTACCTGCAGTTGCAGTTTAATGTATGTAAGGAAAACCTTCCGTTCCTTTAAAGAACGTATCAAGGAAGACGTTAGATCCACAAAAAATTGCTTGGAGACTCCAATCTCCAGGCATCTTAAGGAAAGACATGGAGGG